ATAAATTATATGATCGATATAAACCAATTGACTAATTTGTCCCTAAAGTGCAAATGTTGTGGGATAACCACTAAAATTAAATGGCTTATATATGTTTTTATTTACCGTGAAATAAGCATTTTTTTCAAACATTTTAATTACACTATAAAATATAAATAACTAGTTTGGCAAAAGTAACTTTCGAATATTACTTTTTATCCATAGAAGGTTGTCAGTACAAACTCCTTAAATAGAAAAGTTGTGTGAAAAGTATTCTTTATTCTTTTTTTACTTTTTCAAAATTTCTATAAAATTGCATTGAGCATAATTTATTAAACTATATTATAAAAACTATTTAAAAGGCGGTTATTTCATGAATTAACTAAATTAAAAATAAAAAAAAATAAAAAAAAAACATTGACAAGTGACAACCATCAAATTGCTTAAATATTTTAATTATTATCTGAAATTTAACTTTCTTCTTTCGATCTTGATATTCAACCACCACTGACCTCCACCAACCGACCACCACGGTGGTTTAGAGTGGATTCCGGCGAGTGTGTAGCTGTTGTCGAATCATTTTTCACATGTATAAAAGATTTGTGGACCTTGAGATATTCCTGAAATCATAAATAACTGATTTGCGAAAAAAGCTAGCGTACCTCAAGTTGGTTGCCTATGTTAACAACAAAGGCATTCGGAATTGCTCCAACGTTGACCCACTCACCATCCTTCATAACCTGGAGCCCAGTCGAATCACCTTGATACAAAAGCGTAATAAGACTCGGATCTTGATGTGGTAATATCCCCAACGTTAAATTCGGGTCGGGGCAAGGCGGGTAAATATTCGACGACAATAACTGAACCTCACTCATATCCTCAAAATACCCATCCTTCAATCCTAATCCTTCACAAATCATCCCCAAAATCCTCAAACTCAATTTCTGTATTTCCACTAAATACGCCGATATTACCTCTCTGTATACAAAAAATTTCGTACAGTTAAACGAAGCTAATATTATGAAATTTTCACAATAAAAAAACATTACTTACTGATATCGGGTCGGGTTTTCGGGCCATAGACGAATGCAATCCTCTACAGGATGACATGGATGTTTAAGATTTTCCCGCCATAAATGCACGCCATCTTTCGCGTAATCGGTACTGTTTGTGTAAATCCAACCTTTCGTTTGTTTTTCCTTCGATGGCATGTCGAAGAATTCTTTCAGAACACTCATCGCGTCACCCACTTTCTTCTCCGGGATTCCGTGATTGATCACCTGTTTCGGAATAGGAATGGAATCAGAGACAGAAATGGAATCGCAGACTTGAATACGAAGATTGCTTTATTAACTTTCTAGTACCTGAAAGAAACCGAAATCTTGAGAAGCCGACATGATTGCTTCGCCTGGGGTGATATGTCCGTTAGCTTTTGAAAGATCGATAACGGGAATGGAATCGCAAACAGGGGAATCGAGATTCCGGGGTCCATATTCCTTGGAGAATACGTAATCTTTGGGTACGAACTCCACATCATACCACTTTGAATCGTTTAACTCCTTCATCTCTGTATGCATAGTCACAACTCACAAGTGTAAATCACAGTGATCGTAAATATATAGATATATGCAATATGCAAATATGTGTATGTACATGTATGTAGATGCTGATTGGAGGATTGCCCTTTTTCCAAGATTAAAAAAAAACAAAAAACTTTTAAACATTTTTTAATTCATCGAGTGCAGAACTCAAACTCTGTTGATTTCAACTGAGAACATTAAAAAATAGAACAAAAAGTAATTAAGAATTGGAGCCAAGTGGTTGGATCCATGTGATTACTTCGAAGATCAGCTAGCACTGATTATTCATTTTATAATATTTTAAACACCACTAAACAGTAAGAAGACGATAACGTTGCTCGAAAATGGCACTAATTATATTAATTAGAGACCTATCTTGAAGAAAGTGGTATAGATATATGTTCCTTTCATTGGCCAAACGTAATATAATGAGACACTAATATATGCATGAACATAAATCCGTGAGGTCCCAAAGGTTTTTTTTTTTTTTTTTTTTTTAATGAAAAAGACAACAATGTTACAAATTAATTACTACAGAGTTTGATTGTTTGTCAACTGATAAAAGTCATCTGATCGTAAAAGATAAATTAGATTCAAGAAATAAAAATTGCGCAGGTGATTTTGGAATATGAAAGTGCATGCAGAGATCCGATTTTCGATATATCATGTGGTCATATTTAATATTTTAATGTGAATTCCACGTTCATACACGTCACCAAAACTAACTCTGTTATACTAAAGGGTCAATATGTAATTAACTAATAAATAGAAAATTCAAAGGGTGGTGAGTGACGACACAAAGAGGAATAGACAATTCTGTTTAGAAAGTATTTTGATAAGGCTTTTTTATCAGCCAATGAAATAGTACATAAAGTTGAAATACAGCATCTAACAAATAAACTTTTTTTTTTTTTTTTTTTTTTAGTTTATCCCACTTAGGTCACAATTCATTCTTTCTACAAATGGTTTGATATCGAATTTTGATGATTTTTAAGCAATATACTTTGTAAAATGTTAAATGTATATAAAAATAAAAAACTAGTAATAAAAAGGTATGGTACGTTATCCGACCTTAGTGCAACAACAACTAATGGTTTCCAATTAAGAGCTTTCCTTTCAGACACTTTAACACACGCATTTGGAGCATATGATAAGGTTAATAGAAGAAGACAAAGTAAAAGGTTATGCAAAAGAAACAACAAATTGAAAGTGTCTAGAGGATATGAAAGTATATAATCCAAATCAACATTTTTTTCATCAATTTATAGTTTACTTGGGATTAATAAATCGTTGTTGTGGAATCGAATTTGTTTTCTTGTAAACATAGCCAAATGTCACCTGAATCAATTCATTTACCACAAAAGAATAATAGATAATTCGACTTAAATAACTAAACACGCTCATTTTTAGCATACTTACAATCCTATAATCCAAGAACTAGGCCTTGGATCAAGCAACTGTTAAATTTTCTGGGCAAGATCCCAATGATCAAGGAAAAAGGGGGCATTAAATTTAGCAATCAAAAACAGGACCATACTTTATAAAGGCAAACAAAGAAAGCCGATTGTGATGGAAGTGCATGTGAAATAGACTATTACTGAAAGCCAATTTTAACCACAAACAAATAAGGAATGCAATGTACATCACTCTCAGAGAAAAATGTGAATGAACGCGTGATCATAGGGATAGGATAAGATGCCTAGCACAATCGATCGAATAGCTCACACCACTAATGGATTCTCACGGATTCTACTGTTTTCAAAACCGAATAAGATATTGCATGTACTTCCGAATGAATAACTTGAATCGCTACATTTTGATTTTTGTTGTAAATGAACTATCAACCTATAATTTTTCCTCGAAATGCATAACAGCTCGGCATAATCTCTCCCGTTTTTTGAAAAATTCTGACAAAACCCTAACTAATTCGCTACATGAACAGAAAAAACCACAGACTTAAATGATCAATTACACTAGAAATTTAGGGGCAATGCTTGTTGATCGCATATGATTTCAATGAATCAAACACTATATATGTGTAAACGAAATTCATTCAAAAGTATGAATACCCTTATATGGAGTTTGAGTTGTGGAGACAAATCGATCACAGCGGTTCACCTCGTTGGAATCGTCACGTGAAACTCTCACTCGTCTGGAAGCAGCACTCCAGTGCAGCGGTGCTAATGCAAACTATATATATATAAATTAAAACCACATACCAGCTTTTACGTTTTTTTTTTTTTTTTGAATAAATTTCTATAAATAATTATTAGTCCTAACAAAATTTTAATTTTAATATATAATATGTCTATATTATTTTATATATCCAGATTACAGTTTTAGGTATTTTCTAAAAATATATTTTATTAAATAATTATAAATGATACTTTGATTTGGTATCTCAAAGTTGTTATCAAATATATTCTTTAGTAAATGGTACGATTAATTTTGTATATCAGTTTTAAAATTTTAATTTTTTTCCAAATATAATATTTATAAATGATATCTAGAACTTATTATAAAAGTTAAATACTTAAGTTTTCCTGAATATAATTTTTATTTGAATGATACATAATTTTATACATTAAATTTAGTCTATAAGTTTTAACAAATATTATTTTTATAAATAATATCTTTATTTGCAACTCAAATTTAATATTTCATTTTTATTATAAACATAAATTTTATTCTATGTATTATATTTAGAGAATAAAAAATGTTTCATCTAGCATAAACTATTACTTTCCGTTCCTGAGTTTTAACAAATAAAAGAAAATTAGGGGAAATAAGAAAATGAGAGAAAATAAAAAAATAATAATAAAAAGAAAGAAAAATATATTTTATGCTTCCGAGGTAGCAAGAGTGAAATGAAAATAAATATTCTTTTTCTCTTAAATCTTACCAAATTTAAAAGAAATTTAGAAAGAAAAAGTTAACTTTTCATTCCTCCCCATTCCTTTCTTTTAAAAACTCATGAACACTTTTTTTTTTACTTTTTTATTTTTTTCATTTTCGTCCATTTCATTTCATTTCCTTCACTCCTTAACTAAACTAGAGAACAAGGTGTAAGTGATCGCATCGTTTTATTTTGGTTTATTTAGGAAGGAAAATATCAATGTAACCCATTAATGTTTGTCTTCATTTCCGATTAAGTCCTTATTTTATTTTATTTTATTTTTATTATTATTATTGTTCCCAATACGTTACTTAAGTTTTTATTTGACCTGCCAATTGAACAATTATGGGCTATTTAAAGTGGTCAGTCGGTTTCAATAGATGAGATGGATGTATAATGTATGAATAATTTTTTTTGTCGGGCACATCATTAAATCCACATCCTCTTAAAAGATTGATACATCATGTCATTTAATTGTATACTTTCTTCTTTCTTTTCGATCCACAAATCCAAACATCAGAGCACAACAAAAATCTAGGGTTTTCATGCACCATAGAAGCATCGAAGCAGACATGTCGATTCCAAATCCCTATGGACTATATTTCATAGTGGAGCTCAACTATAACAAAGTATTTGTTTGCCATCCCTTCTCTTATGCTAATGGTTTTACAAAGACAATAGATAATAATGATTTTTCTAGTTTCTTCTACTCTGAGTTCGTGACCAGGATTCAAGGTTACATGCAAGAAGAGTTCAAGAAAGTTTATTATTACGAACCGGACGAAACATTAGTGGAAGGGTTGTGTCTCATTGCTAATGATGTTCACTATGTAGGTTTCATATTTGATGCTTATAGAACAGATGGAAATCTTTTTGTATATATTGACCATTCTGGTGTTGTAATAGAACAATGGTTTGGTGATGAACTTAATGAAAGAGATGATCGTGATTCTTGCATCATGGGTGGGGATAATGAGGATGAATTAGATAATTTGATAGATACTGGTGTTGATTCTACTAGTAAAATTGTTATTATAAACAGAACATTAAATGAATACATTTGGAGTAAACTAAATGCTACATATGAGAAGAATGAGTTGCACAACACCGAAGGTGATAAGGGTAAGAGTAATCCACATGTTCAAGTACATGTTATATTCAATGAGTCCTTACATTGGTAGAAGCAAAACCAATATTTGGTATGAGATTTCATGACATAGGACAACTTAAAACCATGTTATGTAACTATTTTGTTGCTAATGGGTAACAACTTTGTTTTGAAAAGAATGACAGGGAAAGTTTTTTTTTTGTGAAGTGTTGCAAGGGTGAATGCAACTTTAGGTTATGGTCATCTTTGATAACTCATGAAAAGACCTTCCAGATAAAGTTTTTAAAAAATCATAATTGTGTGCTAGAAACTTCAAATTGTGATCACTTGTTTCATGAGCATGGATTGGGTGTCACTACACAAAGCAAATATTGGTCATCCAGAAGATGAGTGTAAGAAATCTTAAATTAGCTATAATAAAGAAGTTTTGTATATAAGTTAGCCTTGGGAAATGTAGGAGGGATAAGAAATATGCACTACCATTAATTGAAGGAAATCTCGTGGAACACTATGCCAAACTTTGGTCATATGGTGTAGAAATTAGAAGATTAAACTCATGGCTCTTTTGTTATGATAAAAGTTAACCATATGCCAGATGGGAAAAATTATTTCAATAGATTCTATGTGTGCCTTGAAGGAGTGAAAAGGGTATGGATAGAGGGTTGTAGGAAATTAATAGGGTTAGATGGTTATTTCTTAAAAGGAATATGCAAAGGGGAATTGCTCAGTGCAGTTGGTAGGGATGCAAACTGTAACACCCATAATTTTGGGCTAGACGTTCAAGGGATAATGGTTATTATTATCCATATTATCCAACAATTAAACTATAGAATATGATAATTGTTCTTCGTAAGCATTACAAGTCATATAAATACTTAAATATTGTATACACGTTATGCGAACAAATATTGGATATATTATATTTGTAGAAAAATCTTAATCTCATTAAGCGATAAATTAACATTTTAAATAAAAGATTATTTAGGATAAATGTTTTAAAAAAAAATCATAATAATCGTAATTATGAAACCATGAATATAAAGAACAACAAAATCTGACTTCGTATAAGGAGGTTATGATTTTTCGAGGTTTCACGTTCGACACAATATTGTAACGCCCGTTTCTCGAAGAAGGCTGGACAAGACTTAAGGAATCAAAATAATGATTTTGGAGAAAAACCCTCTGCCATGACGTGGGGTATGGATGCGTACGCCGTGGCTTGGGGTTTAATGAAACACATGTTTTGGAATACCATGACATGACATAAAGTGGCCACGCCATGGCAGTCGCTGCAACTTAAATCCAGGGTTTTTAGGGTTTCCCTCATATAAAAACATATTAACTCTCATTCTAGGTTATCTTCTTCAGCCTCCACCTCCCCATCTCAAAATCCTAGCCTCCATACATGCTTGAGAGTCCATTTCATCAATTTTTAGCCTTGTTCTTGGGTTTTTGGTAGAGTTTTAGAAAAGGGAAGTTCACAAGGAAGCAAGGGAACAAGAAGCAAGTGTGTATCCAACATCCTCTTCGGTTTTCTTAGTTGTTGAAGGCATAAAGTTCATACCTTGACACCTTTTCTTCCATATTCAAGTTCTAGGTCATAATTTGGTGTGTTTGTTCCTTTCTTGGATATTCTTGGTATTTGAAGAACTCTATAATGTGTCGTGGCTTTCCTAGGTCCTTGGACTTCTATTGATTGAGAAAAAGGACCATGCTTGGCGTATTTTGTGTCCATGTTCAAGTTACAACCTCATTAAAGACCTAATGGATATTAAATGCTAGAACTATCCTTGAAATGGAGTCCAAAAGGATAAAGTTGGAAACTTTATCCATTAAGTCAGTATGGGAGAGTAGATCTGGAAGTATGAGCTTAGCTTAGGAGGGATTAAGCTCTTAATGAGAGAAATGGCATTTTTTCAATAGACATGGCGTGGCGAAGTCAAAAATCATGATTGTCTTGTTCTGTCATTTACACGACGTGGCCAAGGAGGGCCTCGACATGGCGACACCCTGCATGTTGACTATTTTACCTTGTAAGCCCACAGTGTGGCCATGGAAAGCCACGCCATGGCATTAAATTTGACCAAGATTAACCGTTGACTTTTGATCAAGTTGGCCTTTGGGTCAAACTTAAGGGTTTTGGACTTTTGATGTAGATTCTTCCATGTTTTGGGTGTAAAAGGCTTGTAGGGGAAATCAGTGTAGAAAGGGAAGTGTTTCGTAGTGTTTCATGTTTTTTCATTAAATTGAGTTTTCACCCACTGTACCCATAGGTCGAAGGCATAAATGCCGACCCACTAGTTAGGGTTATCATTTATTATAGAGAGGCCCTATGGACGATATGTAGTCACGTAGGATAGACTGATGACTCTTGATCTCGGTTTTCTTGCATGTTCCTTGTTTGGTTGTGGCTCTAGAGTGGGATCATCCGTATGGGTGTCTATTTCACCTCTGGGTACATATGGTTATGCATTCCTTGGAGTATTTGTTATGTATCATTGTGCATAGGATGTTTTTGTGCTGTAGTGATCTGCTAGATTCATATATATATATATATATATATATATATATATATATATATATATATATATATATATATATATATATATATATATATATATCAAGGTTCTAAATGGCGTGAGGCGTGGCGTGGCGGCAAGGTTAAGCCTCAAGCTTAACGAGCCATGGCGTTTTTCAAGGCGTGATGTAAGGCGGCGATTTTGTATTAATTTAAAATTATATTACCACATAAATATAAATTTATATTAAATATAACTACTTTTTAGAAGTGTTAGATCATAACTAGTAACAAAATTTTAACAAAAACCACAATACTTGTATCTTCGATTAGATAAGACATAACAAATAACAAAAACCTGTGTCTCAAACGAAAAAACACGCGCCATAACACGCCATGGCGCGCCATATCATGCCTCGCCACGCACCACGCCTAACAGCAATGTTATGAGGCTTTTCGTAACGGTGGAGCCACACCTCATGCCATGGCGCGCGCCTTTTAGAACACTGATATATACAATAGTAGTGGTGTGCTGGTTAGAGTACCACTAGGTTGGTTATTGTCTAGTGGAGTGTCCTAGGGAATGTATGTAGTCATGAAGGATATCCTAAGAACTCTTGATCTAGGATTTCTTACATGTTCCTTGTTTGCTTATGGCTTTACAGAAAAATCGTTTGTTCGGTTGGCTATCTCACCTCTGGTTACTTATGGCTATGTATTCCATAGAGATTAACTGGTAGTGGAGCAATGTATTGTGAGGGGTCTAGTACGTGGTAGTGAGCTGTATGATTGGTATTCTCATGTATTATGTAGAAATGAGCATAAATGGGTACCCTCTTATTTTCATTGTGGTGATACATGAAAAGTGACCCTTTAGAATTCTGAGATAAAGTCTTCCGAATTGAGAAGTATTCCGAAATAAAGCCAATTCTGAAGTAAAGATCTATCTGAGATGCATTGTTTTTTACTTGCTATTTGAGTCTGTAATGTGCATTAAAGGTTCCTAGTTCTATTTTGTTCTTTATTTATTTTATAGTATAGTACATAGGGCAATATCAACAGACGCGACTGTGTCAGTCTATTGATCTTCAGATGACTTTTAGTCTATCCACTTTATCAAAATTTTCTTTTTGTCACTCCTTGTCTATTTAAGGAGTTGTAACCTAATTAAGAATGTGTGCAACATTCTCTTTCACATGAATACCAAGAATCATTCAGTAACATCCCCCTAAATACGACTCAAAAAAAAATTCATTTTTAAGTTTACCAAATCACAAACATAAAACATCATTGATTCCAAGATCACGAAAACTTAAAATAGTTATAGTGGATAATCAAGACAATTCGTGGAAAATCATTATCAGAGCATAAGTCCCAAAATCCCTACTGCGGAAAATCATAGTGTGATGCGTTGCGATCAAGCCGACCCCTTCCCTTTTGAGAGGGAAGTAGCTGAAACACAACTAAAATAGTATACACAAAGCTTAGCGAGATCCCCCCACCATACCACATATAACACAAACATGCTGTCATACATATATGGGTGCCCGACGTACCCTGCTAGGCATATCTAGGTGCCCGACCTACCCTCTGATTTATTTCAACCAGTTCCGGGGTCTATTTCACCCCTACCACTACCACATAATATCACACATAAATCACATAATCATCAAGCAATACGTGAACCATGATAATTATCACATAGACAACCATCATGCAATACAATAAATAAAGGATCGGCCTTAGTGCCTTCGACCCATAACATTCAAGAAGGGGGACTCACCTCAACTGCGAATATGAAATCATACTTCTTGGACGACTCAGAACTCCTCTCCCTATAGCACATAAATAGCCTAATTAGACGTTGGATCGAAACCTGTCCCTGAGGCCCAAACCATGATTCATGACATAAGGCAAAGGTTCACTAATATTTGCCTTATTAGGCCTCTTCCTTCCAAGGCCCAACTTTCAAATTAAAATGTCCAAGTCCATCCAACTAAGCATTAAGGCCCAATAAGTTCCAATAAGGCCCAATACCATAAATACTAAGCCTAGGCCCAGAGGCCTTAATCCATATCTGGGATTGAGGCCCAACGAATCCAGGCCCAAAAAACACATTTGATCTAATGCATGCGTAAGCACATCATACTTGGCACATACGCCCAACATACACTGGCCTTGACCTGATACGGGAAGTTGACCAAGTACACACAGCGTACTGGCCAGCCACCTTAGAAGCTTCATTGCGACTTAATTAATTAAAGTCCTAACATCCAAAACATAGATCTAGGCCCTTAAAGTCGTTCTCAACCATAAAGTTATAAACTTTATGTTGTTCAATGCATGGATGGGGATTTAGACATGATTTAAGTCCATAAGCACACTTTGTGGCCATCTAACACTTGCATGGTTGAGGCTAAACCATCAAGGCTCGATTTTTATGGCTCCAAACACTTCCAAGAGCCTAAACGGAAAGATCGTATGGATTGGAACTTCTAAAACTCAAGAAACCTCAACTATGGAGCCAAAATGCAACATAAAACACCAGAAAACTA